CTAGGTTGGGCAAAGGCGTATCTAGGTTGGGCAAAGGCGTATCTAGGTTGGGCAAACGGTGGGGACGAATCAAGTCATTTAATTAAAAGTAAAATTTTAAAAATACGAATTCTTCTAAATACTACAAACCAGAGGATGCGAAGCCAGAGACAGAGATTGGATCTCATAGAAACTACAGCATGCGTTGTTATCACGGTTTAGTCTCGGTGAGTTTCCTAACGCATTCAAATAAACTTCCTTTTACATTGAACTCTCATTTAACTATCGCCTAGAATGGCTATAGAGCTTTAATCAACTATATACAAATAATTCATACAGTCTACCATACAAACGCACTGCAATTTGCTATGTATATGTATTTCAAAAACCCATGGATGTAAAATATATATATATATAATAATAAACTTTTGAAGTCACTTGTTGGTAACAAGATAAAATTAGTATGGAATATCCCTTATTGTTATCCTGGATATAAAAGGTGCGCATTTTTACATAGGATATAGATGAGGTTTATTGTTAATAAACCATATGAGGTTTATTGTTAATAAACCATATGAGGTTTATTGTTAATAAACCATAACATAAATTTTGGGGTGGTTTTTTTTTTTGGTCACGTGATAGATGGCACCCCCAGCCAATGCAGTGAGTGCCCTGTCACATAATAGATGACACCCCCACCCCATTCAGGGAATGCCATGTCACGTGATAGTTGACACCCCCACCCAATTCAGTGAGTGCCCTGTCACGTAATAGATGACACCCCCACCCAATTCAGTGAGTGCACTGTCACATAATAGATGACACCCCATCCCATTCAGGGAATGCCATGTCACGTGATAGATGACACCCCCACCCAATTCAGTGAGTGCCCTGTCACGTAATAGATGACACCCCCACCCAATTCAGTGAGTGCCCTGTCACGTAATAGATGACACCCCCACCCAATTCAGTGAGTGCACTGTCACATAATAGATGACACCCCCACCCCATTCAGGGAATGCCATGTCACGTGATAGTTGACACCCCCACCCCCCAATTCAGTGAGTGCCCTGTCTCGTTATAGACGACACCCCGCCCCATTTAGGGAATGCCATGTCACGTGATAGATGACACCCCCACCCATTCAGGGAATGCCATGTCACGTGATAGATGACACCCCCACCCAATTCAGTGAGTGCCCTGTCACGTAATAGATGACACCCCCACCCAATTCAGTGAGTGCCCTGTCACGTTATAGACGACACCCCGCCCCATTAAGGGGATGCCATGCACGGGACACAACCTATCTCTCTCTCTCTCTCTCTCTCTCTCTCGCTCTCTCTCTCTCCCTCTCTCTCTCTCCTCATCGCCCATTAAAATTGATCTTTGTCTCCGGCGGCTAACAAACTAAGATCGTGAGGCGCAAGAGGCCGCACACCGAGTATCAAGAATAATCAAGGGGTTCTAAAAATCTTAGCCCCTCGTGAAGTCCCAGCACCCCGTCTGCGACAAAAATGGCTGTTCTATTCCTTAAGAGTTCAAGCACCCACTGGCAACGAATTGCGTATACAATTCATCAGGACGGTTCAAAGATGTCATCCTAATTTGAACTTAAAATCCACTGAACTATCCTGCCAGAAAAGAGCTGTTCAATCTAGTAGAATTCAAGCAGCCCTTGGTAACCAAGCGGGTATCTATTTCATCCGGATCATTCAAACAGTTTTTTTAATGTCTAAGCGGAACTTTAAAAAGTCCACAGTAAAATCCACTGAACTATTCTGCCGTGCGTGGTCTTCACTGACCAGGAGTCCAACACGGGTTTAGAGGTGAGCACGCCAACATCAGGGGGGGGGGGGGGGGGCGGCGCAGGTGACCTGGCCGCATCATACACAGGAGTTGTCTTTCCAGCCGTAGGCGACAGCCGATATCCATGCGACGACGAAACATCGACGAAACATCGCATCGTGTCTCAGATCTCATCTAGCTGCTCACGTTCACCTGCTCTGATATCCTCCGTGTGAGGCTAATAACAGGGCCCACAGCTGTTGCTGCTACCGAAAAACTTGCCCCATGAACAACGCTCAGCACTCGCTCGCGAATACCAATAAAACAACAACATGTCATTCCTTGGCTTGTGGACAGAGAGCGCGAGAGGCGTAAGATCAAGTAAGAGAAAGCTACATGACAAGTGTACGATGTCAAGATGTACACGCAAGTTCGTCATGCTAAAGTCCGGAAAGACTGAATAATAAAATGTACGAACCCCTTGCTATGGAGCATGGAAATGCATTTTAAATATATATATTTTTTTTTTTTTTTATCTATACGACTGTTAAATTTTGGATTTTCCCTTCTCCAATCCTATATTTCCAGCGCTGTCAGAATAAAATACACCACTGGTGTGAACTAAAAGTCTATATAGACGATTATAAAAATTTAGCGCTTTCAGAATAGAATACACCACTGGTGTGAACCAACAGCCAATACAGACGCTTGGACAAATTTAATGTGAGCAAGATGGCATTTCTTGGTCACTCTTTGGTCATTGTTTTTGCGTTCAGTTTTTACATCACCCACCCCTTGCCATCCAATGTGTTACCTCAAAAAAGACAATCACGTTACACTGTTCGCCAGGTCAGATGATTGATGAGTGTGAGCAGGTGTGACCTCTTTGGACACCAACTTCATTGAACTTAAATTATCGTCATTTAGTGGCTTAGTCAGTCAGTCCATTACAGGATTATGATAACACAACTCAGCGTAACTAACTAAATTCAAAGCAGGAAAATTAAAATGGTTTAAATGGTGCCCGGCTGTAAGGTTTCAAACCAACAAACACAGTATGTGTGTGTGTTTCTAACCAACCTTGTCATTTCTACTCTACATAGAATATTTTTTTGTGTCCGAGATGGGGGAAAAAAACCCTATACTAATAAAGGTAAATATATAAATCGCAAAGCCAAATAACTAAGCCATCATCAGAACCGAAAATATTGGAATTTCTTTCATTTGGTAATCATCAAAGAAGATAGATCAATGTTTTAATCAGACTTTGCACAATCAACCCGAGGACAATTAACCCTGGGCCAATCAACCTTGGGGCAATCAACCCCGGGGCAATCAACCCTAGGGCAATCAACACTGAGGCAACCAACCGCGGGGCAAGCCTGTGAAATCAAATTGACAAGTGGTATTGTCGAAACATTTAATCCTGACACTATCATTGGGACACGAATCATGTACTGATACCAATGAAATCATAACATAAGTCTCAAACAGTTTTTCCCAAAAAACTTCCAGAAGTGTAAGATACCCTTGTGGCCAATAACACAGTTCAGGTGCTGCAGTCTTCCACCAACCCACCACCCGCCCCTCCAGCACATTAACAGCCATGTGCTCATTACCATTAACCTATGAGCATATCTAGGTCACACAATATATTGACTTCAGGGCAAGCCACCAGGGTCTGCATACCACAGGTTCTTTTTCAAACACAAGTGGTGAGTGGGAATCAGTCCCCTTCTCTGAGCAATCAACAGGGTTATCCTCCTAGGTCTACCACAGCAGGACAGAAGCTTACAGTGTGACCAACTTACACATAGGAAACTTATTTGAACTGTTAAGGAGGGGGGGTGGACACCAGCCTACCCTGCTTGATAGCTTGTCTGGTCTTTCTTATATTTCAGTAAAAATATAATTCTGGAATTTCATCTCAAAAATACAAATTTACTGTCCTAAAATGACCACACCAAAATGACGACACCGGGCGCCCCCAAGCATAAGCTACTACACCGGTCAAAATGAAACAGACACACTTATAGAGCAGGTCAAGATTAAAAGGTTGATATTTAGAGAGCAGATATGGAAAGGCTATGTTGAGGAGCTGTGAACAATACAGAGAGCAATTAATTATAAAATTACAGTCAGATCAACTCTGCATACCCACAACTGATGCCCAGTGAATTAAACACAGCAAGTAAAGAATCCTATGAGGAATGTGTGTCTGATATATTAACCACAGCAAGTAAAGAATCCTATGAGAAATGTGTGTCTGATGTATTAACCACAGCAAGTAAAGAAGCCTATGAGAAATGTGTGTCTGATGTATTAACCACAGCACGTAAAGAATCCTATGAGAAGTGTGTGTCTGATGTATTTTAACCACAGCAAGTAAAGAATCATATGAGAAGTGTGTGTCTGATGTATTTTAACCACAGCAAGTAAAGAATCCTATGAGAAGTATGTGTCTGATGTATTTTAACCACAGCAAGTAAAGAATCCTATGAGAAGTGTGTGTCTGATGTATTTTAACCACAGCTAGTAAAGAATCCTATGAGAAGTGTGTGTCTGATGTATTAACCACAGCTAGTAAAGAATCCTATGAGAAGTGTGTGTCTGATGTATTAACCACAGCTAGTAAAGAATCCTATGAGAAGTGTGTGTCTGATGTATTTTAACCACAGCAAGTAAAGAATCCTATGAGAAGTGTGTGTCTGATGTATTTTAACCACAGCTAGTAAAGAATCCTATGAGAAGTGTGTGTCTGATGTATTTTAACCACAGCTAGTAAAGAATCCTATGAGAAGTGTGTGTCTGATTATCAGTTGGATGATACAAATTTTTTATTTCTTTTTTTTAAAATAAAGCATCGGAACAATTGTGTGTCAATCAAACGCAAAAAAAAAAAAGAGTTAATTTTTTTTTTAGCCAGGGTTTCATAGTCCCTAAGCATGGCAAGGAAGATTAAAAAGTTTTACTTCAGACCGGACAAACCAGCACACCGAATGCACAGAGTGAATGGTCACATCCTTTAGGTTGGTGGACACAAAACACAGTCAATGTGCAACCCACTGTCTCGAGATTACTATGATCCGTCTTCGGCGGCAGTGCAAACCAAGGTTGTAGTGGAACTGTAAGCTCATCCCACTTTCTTAGAGACACGAGCTACACTCAGTGGGTCAAGAGAAAAGATGCTAAAGCAGGCACGAAAAAAAAAGGAAATCATTCCTACCTGGCACCTCTTCCCCTTCCGACATCTCGTATTCATCCACAATAAAACTCCGCGTAGACTCGGAAATGTGCACCTTGCCTGGTTCTCCAGTAGACTCCATGATATTGGCTAGGGTGACATCGTTTGACCAGACGTCAAATTTGAAGCGTACAGTCCCGACAATCCCACAGAGAACTGTGCCAGTGTGGACGCCAACCCTCATGTTTACCTAAAAATTATGGGCGACAGTTAGAATCAATGGCATTAGTAATGAATATTTTTTAACAAAAATTTAAAAAACATATCCAAAAATTTGTTTGAAACAAAATTTGTTAAAAAGATATCTGTTTATTCATTTTTTAACATGCTTTTTAAAGCAAAGTCCTTCAATTATTATTTTTTAAGGGAAGGTGCGAGTTAGAAATGGGGGAAAATGTGAGCCTTTTTAACAAAATTGATTTCTGTCAGTTTTTTTAAATTATTTCATTTTGAACAAGCTTCTGTTTGAACAATTTTTTCTCTGAACAATTTTTTTTTTCGTACAAATTTCCTTTATCCAAAAAAAAATGAGAAAGAAGAGTGTATGAGGAAAAAGTCAATTACCCAGTTCAAGCTGTATGCAATAAGCTTGCGATTATATTGATTGGACTTTTTCGCACAGATATTAATTAAGTTATCAGTGTCGTTCCTTGACAGGTTTTAACCGTGTTCAGTTACAATTGTCCTTTAATACTCAGTGGATTCAAATCAATTCATTGCTTCCATTAGACTGGTTGGTTAGAAATATATTTCATGGGTAAATTGACAAATTTTTCTTTCATGATGATGGTACAGTAAACACAGCTTGCATCTTCCAAGCCTGGGGCATTAACAACGAGAGAAGGTTTCTTAAAAGGAAATTGAATAAAGGCCTGAATTGAGGCTCTGTGATGAGGATAGATAAATGCTGGCGTTTTCACCCAACTAGCACTTTTTTTTTTATTACTTAGTCTAGTAATTTAAGTAATTTTTTAAAAAGAAACAAAGATGTCTAAGTCTAATGGAGCCCGTGTTAATTACAGAGAAGCACAAAATGGTCAGGGTTTTAATTTACAAATACATGATTTTAATTTTAATTAAACTTAAATTTAATAAATACCCCCCCCCCCGGAAATTTTATTTGGAACATCTTTAAAATTATTAAATTTTTGCAAAAACTAGGGCTAAGTTCAACAATACTACCAACTAATATAATTTAATTTCTTGGTTCAAATTAGTATCATTTTGAGTGCAAGTTACTGACCATAGGCTTACCGTAATGATAGAACTATTACGTAAAAATAAAAAATCTTTAAAGAAATGAGACAAAAAAACTTTGTTATTTGGGGTGCAAAGCATCTGACAGTTGTAAGAAATCATGACCACTGCTCTTTGAAAAATTTAATCACAATAAAATACGCTTAAATTCTTAATATAAATTTGACAAATAATTTTTTTACTTCTATTACTCACTTCCTCATTGTGATCTTCATCAAAGGCTCGAATGGCAATAACCATACTGAGACCCATTTCAACACAGCACTTTGCATGATCGGGGCATGAATTAGGACAGCCTGACACACAGTAGTAGCAATCCCCCAGTGTGCTGATCTTCTCACAACCAGATGCATTGCACAGCTTGTCAAATCTCCCAAACAGATCATTAAGCAGCCCTACGAGGCGCTCAGCAGTTTTGTTAGAGCTCATCTTGGTAAATCCAACGATATCCGCAAACAGAATGCTCACATCTTTCATTTCATCCATCTGAAATTTTCTGAAAATAATCTCACCCTTGACATGTTTGGCTTTCCTGCGTTTTTTCTTCTCGGCGTCGTCATCATCATCATCTTCATCTTTTGATGGATGTGTGGCCATGACTGATTTTGCGACAACAGGCGGCATAAGAGAGTGAATCATTTTTTCTTTAATTTCCCTTTCAATCATCAGATCTTTTTGGGCACTAACCGACTGACCTATCTTAGAGAAGTTACTCCGTGCTCTTGTGTTGGACATGATATAGATAAAGGTTCCCATTAGATGGACAATGAGATGAAGCAGTAGTTTGCAGATGATGAAATCCGGTTTTCGCATCTCAGGGTATCTTAATGCAATAATGACTTCATATGTTATGGACAGGAAGCCACCAAGTCCAGCAGCAGCAAAGAGGTTGATAGGAAAGAATGAATACAACAAAATTAAGATTTCGACAACACCGCAAAATGTTCCTACTGGTGAAATGTCTGGTTGCTCAAAAATATATGGAAGTTGAACAGCTAAGACTAAAACTATTGCCAAGAAATATGCAACTTTTTTTGAATGTTTTTCGAAATGCTTGGTGCATGTTATAAAGAGGAGTACTAACATGATGATGAGTAAAACTATTGAACCACCTACAAAGTAAGGCCAGTTGCCTGTTTTGAAATCTATCTGCTTCAGTCCAAAAAATGATAACCAGCAAAATGAAGCAATGGTTACATAATATACTATATTCCGAAATAGCCTCCTGGCTTGTGGAAAATAGCATTTTATGAGGTAATTCTCTAATATTTCACTGTCAAACTTTGGATTTAGCAAGCTGCCATTTGAACGCTCAAAGGGCTTTGGCAAAAAGTGATATCCTTTTTTGCTTTTCTTACTGCTTGTGGGTTTTGTTGAAGGTTGGTGAATTGTGACTTCAAAATTATCTGCCGTGGTATCTACTACCTTAAAATCAACTCGTGTTTCTTTATATGTAGGCTCCCCGTTACTATTGCTAGAATTAGCCATATTTTGTGTTGATAAAAAGTTCCGAGTTATATTTTTATGTTGTTGTTTTTTTAGTTGCAAGAGGTCAGTGGCACCGGTGGAGCTTTTCAGCTGTTTTTAAACGGCGTCTAAATTTATTTAACCACACAAAAGTCTTCGGTGATGAAAATGCGAAGGTTGTTAAATTATTGCCCAAAATTGTGCACATTGTGATCTTCAAATTCCTCCATTTCCGAACTTACTGCACTGAACGAATATAAACATACCCGCTTAATGGTGCCTACACAACACACACGGTGAATTCACCACTTTGCTCGCTTAGGTGACCGGTGTTCATACAGAAAGTACACTGAGTGAACGCAAACAGCCGACACACGATAGCGGGGCTGAATACATAGCAGCGAAACTGTAAAATAATTCTGCTCCGTGAGATCAGCTAACCGTAGGCTCATTGATTTTTTGGCTGTTTTCTTGTCTTTTTTTTAAAATAAGGGCCAAAAGTTTTATCAAATTATTTTTATAATGTAGTGAACAGTTTCCCTTTTTTTTTTATTTATGAGTCAGTAAAATATTTATTTTTTTTGGGGGGGGGGGGGGGGGGAATAGGTGTTTTTTCGGGGTGCGTTTTTTTTTTTTTTTAACAAATGTTTATTAAAAATGATGACTTTAAGCTTCAAATGTAATATTATTATAAACTTTTAATTTAAGATAAACCCTAAATCTTAATTTAAGAGTATAACTACAAAGACCTCTAATGAAATGTTGAAAATGTTATATAAAAAAAAACATCGTTCTAACATACTGAAAGGTGAGGTAGGCATCCGGTAGGAGGAGAAACAAATTTGTTCAAGCGAACACTGAAAGCTACTACCAGGTACAATGGAGACTTGGTAGGTTGTCAAACAATAAATTTTTGTTATTATTTTTTTTTTCTTTAAAAGGTAAGTTGCCGTCAATGAAGTGCGTCACGCTATTTTTGACAACGTTTACCCCTCTACCCCTGTCATAATCTGTCTCAAATCTAAGGACCACCCCCCCCCCACCCCAAAGACCGTCACACTTCCAAAAATAATGTAAAAAATGTATCAACTACTGGTAATTAAAATTCAATCTTATTTTAAAATAGTCAACACTATTAAAGTTAGACACTACTAAGTGACGTCTTCTGTCAAGATTCATCCAGCACAACAGAAAGTTAAAATTCACTGCCAATTTCAGCTTCTATATCAGGGGTCGGGCACCTATGGCTCGCGAGCCAGATGTGGCTCTATTGATGGCTGCATCTGGCTGACAGACAAATGTTCGATTATAAAAAAAGTCGCATTAATGGTAAGAAATACTCATTATTGATTAGCAAAAGCATAGCAATGTTATTAAAAAGAATTCAGAGACCTAATTATTGCAAATTTAGTGTTGAAATTACACAAAATGCACAAATTTTACTTGAATTTTTAGTTTTATATATAATGTATGGCTCTCACAGAATTACTTTTCAAAATATATGGTGTCCATGGCTCTCTCAGACAAAAATGTTCCCGACCTCTGTTCTATATGAATGAAAAAAAAAAAGAATACATACATGTGTGATTTAACATTTGATGTAACCCCCCCCCCC